CCGGCTATGTGTCATCTACAAATCCAATAAGCTTGTAATCCATGCTTTCATCCAAGACACTGAAAAAAATACTGGATTCAGTAGAGCCAGGGATAGGACTCCATGATGTTTCACTAGGAATTTCCTCAGTTAACAAAGTCGTTTCCTCCACAAATATTTATTAAGCCCATATTATATATAGAACTTTATATTAGGTGCTTGAGGAAAAGAAGTTTGAGGTAAGATCCAATCCTACAACTCTCACAAGGCTTTTAGTACAATATATTGATGTCAACCCATTAATTATAACTATCTGGGTTTAGTAATTCAGCTAGTTTGTAACCTAGCTAAGTATACTATCATTAAGCCCATATCTATTTTTTATACAGGAATGTAATGAGAGACTTTAACAAATGATTTGCTCAAACCAAGGGTACTGTGCCTATGACTTTCTCTTACAGTCTAGTCTAGTAAACTTGCGAAAAAGGGAAATGAGATTATTATGGTAAGACACGTTCTTCATAACCCCATTCTGGCATACAGTGATCTCTCTTTCCCTTTCTAAGTGCTTACAAAAAGCACATTTTAAAATATATGCTAACATTTCATCAGGAATCAAAATCAGTCTTGCCAGTCTGAAGAATCTACCTTCTTTCACTTTTTGAAAATATTTGCCTATCTCCCATTCATACGGCACTTTTCCCTCTCTGGGGCTCTTTAAAGATCAACAGTCACATCACATCAACATACACTTTTGGCATTCGGGATGTAACTTATTTAGACCTCACAACTTGACTCAGTTGATAATGAGCTGAACCTGAAGTCAAGAATTCCTGACTTCAAAATCTGATCTCAGATACTCACTAGCTGTGTGATCCTGGGCAAATCACTAACCTCTGTTTGCATTAGTCCACTGGAGAAGGAAATGGCAAAGCACTCCAGTGTCTTTGCCAAGAAAACCCCATGTGGAGTCACACAGAATCAGACATGATTGAACGATAAGTTTTAAGCTCTTAAATTTATAAAACTTCACTAAGACTTTTGGAACACTTGATATGTCTTTTATGTATTTGGTTATTTACATATTTTGACCTCCCTCGAATTGTAGGCTCCTTGAGGGCAAAGGACCATCTTTTCGCCTTTCTTTACATGCCCAGAAGTCAGCACCATGCCTGGCATGTGGCAAATGCTTAATAAATGCTATTGAGTGACTAACCAATTGATGCTTGACTTATATCCCCTTCCCTTATGTGGTCATTGTGCAGGTGTCTGTGGGTTTAACGTTAGTAGAGAAGTTGCTGTTCCTCATTACAGAATGTATCGGTACAAACCAAGTAGTGATGAGAACTGTGAAGTCAGCTTCTTTCCTGTATCTGAACACAGTTGACTTTGCTCTCAGTTTCTGTTCCCAAAGGACTGTGCCTAAAGGTGGCATCAAGCCACCCAGACTAAGTAGCAAAATAATCCAACTTGAGTTTCTGTTCTTCTCACTGTCCCTGCTCAGTTTCTGTCATGAAATAATGGAAAATCCAAACGATGGAAATCAAGATGGAAGACAGGAAGAGTGTCCATGGTTTTCTATCATAGTGTAGAACCTGGAAAATGGTACCTGAGTATGTCAGTACTTCAGTGGATCTAGGAGCTATTCCATGTGGATATTCCTCTCAGCGGTGCACATTACCACCCATGCACAAATTCCCATTCTGTTGGATTGTTCTCCATATCCTTCTATAACCATCCCTAGAAGAGCTGCCCAATACACTTTTCACGGTCTGGGGGTGACCCTGGGTTCCCAAAGGCTGTAAATAAGAGTATGTCCACCTAAAGAGAGATGTTGTTTAGTGGATAGAGAATTGACCTCAGTGTCAGGAAGCCTCGGGTTCAAGTCTTGCCTATGATACATGCTGGCTGTATGACCCGAGCAAGTCACTTAACCCTCTCGTGTCCCCAAATGTTTCTCTAAAGGTATAAGTAGCAGAACAGTTACAGAGAGAATTGGTAGAGAGAATTCCCTTACCAAGAGTTTTCTATACCAATAAAATCAGAGATCAAGACATTCCTCTACTAGGGAAAAAAAAAAAGGGAAAAACCTCTTTCTGATTCTATCCTGGGGGCAGCTAGGAGGCACAGTGGATAAAGCACTGGCCCTGAAGTCAGGAGGACCTGAGTTCAAATCCATCCTCAGACCAAACACTTGACACTTACTAGCTGTGTGACCCTGGGCAAGTCACTTAACCCCAATTGCCTAAAAATTAAAAAATAAAAATTAAAAAGATAAAAAATTCCATCCTGGTGATGACTTCTTGCCTATGTTTCGACAGTTCCTTTAAATATGTCTGTGGAGCCCATTAATCAATGATGATACAAAGAGAACTTTGCTGAGTTGAGCAAAACTCCACCCAGAAACTAGTGTTGGATATAGCTGTACATTAGTGGGGTAGAAATGTTATGAGTATGTGTGTATGTGTGTGTTAGGTGTATATGAGTACATCATGTTTGTGTGCATGAATACATGTGTATGTATATCACTGCCAGTATGAGTCTACATGGCTGCTTCATGAGTGTGTGTATGTATGAGATTGCATATGTGAGTATGCATGTGGTTGGGAGTATTTGTGTGTCGGGGCACGGGGGGGATGTTTTCAGGCATCCCCTTGTGGTGAGCTCAACCTAATTTCTAATCACTACTGACTCTGCATTCAGGGAGACAATTTCTGAGCACTGCTAGCTGGGCCTTCTGCTGGCTGGATTTTCAGGTCTACAACTGGCCAAGTCAGAAGTACCAGCTTCGTTGGGAGAGGCAAGGGCAGGTAGGTGCTGCCAGCAGGAGGCACATCTCATCCCACCTGTGGGCTGTTGACTCACCACGGTGCAGGTGCTGAGTTTGGGCTGAAATCACCAAGCTCTCAAGGAGCTGATCATTCTGATTCAGTTACTACTGAGCGTAAACCTGGAAACAGACAGTGAGACCCAAAGTAACTGTCATAAACAGCATTTCAATGTTTTGGTTTGCTTTTTTGGTCTGTGCCTATGATACTTTCAGTGTAGGTGCTCCTGGATGAGGAAGCCCCCTCTCCCAATGCAGATGACAACTGCTCTCCAATTCTGAGCCTTTGAGAATTGCCTAGAAGTACTTAGAGTCTAAGCAGAATTTGAACTTAGGTCTTCCTAACTGCAAGTCCTTCATGCTATCCATTATGCCATATAACTGCCGAACCTCTCAGTTGAATAATTTCAGCTCAGTTGAGTAGTTTCAACATCTCAGTTTAATGATCAGTACTTGAACTGTGACTCCCCCCAGATGGATTATACTAAAGACCTAAAACAGTCAGCCTCATTTCTCCTATCTAGAACATCTCAAATGGTGATGATTGTCTAGCAAAAGTGATGGAGGTCAGTTGGAAAAATTGAAAGATCAAAGCTTAAATCCCACTTGCCAAATTCTGCTCACTGAAGAGAAATCAGGCAGATGATTGGAGGTTAAAATCAGCAGTCCTTGTGTTCCCTGGGGACAATAAAGCCTGGAGTTACAAGATATGGTTTTGAAGTCTCCCTCTCTGTCCCTCTCTTAATGTGAACTTACAGCATATTAAGGCTGGTGCATATGTGTTAGGCCATAGATTCAGCCAAGTATGGATCAGATCAGCAGAACTCAAGGATTCTAGCAGCTGGTGATGTTTGCCTTCATTCTCAGAGGTGTGGGAGGCAATGAGAGGACTATACCTGAAGAGAGAAGCTCCCTGAGGTCTGATCTAATCCTGAGTGCTTCCTACTGTGGAAGATCCCTGGAAGAACAAAATGGTGCATGAAATGAGAAAGAGATTTAGATTTATGCTGCTTTGTTCTTGGACTTTTCAAGGATCGATACTAGATCTGTCCTGAAGCACTGTTCTAGAAAAAGTCAAGACTTTTCTTTCTTGTTTGTTTGGGTTTTTTTTTTTTGGTGGGAGTTGGGGGTGGGGAGAGCTAGGTGGCACAGTAGATAGAGCACCAGCCCTGGAATCAGGAGGACCTGAGTTCAAATCTGGCCTCAGATGCTTACTAGCTATGTGACCCTGGGCAAGTCACTTAACCCTGATTGCCTCAAAAAAATAAATAAATAAATAAAAGTTCTTTTTGTTTGTTTGGTATTATTTGGCGTCAGAATAGGAAAGATGGATGAATATCTGGACTTGTGTTTTCATTGGTATTGGGAAGCAATGCCTTGCCAACACTCTCAGTAGATAGGCAATAATGCTTAGAAAAACTCTAGATATCTTGAAAGAGTAATTTCACCTTAGAGAGACGGGCAATTTTTTCAGCCGGTTACTGCACCCTAGAAGCAGGTCCATTTGACAGGAAAATGTCACTTCATGAGAAGATCATTCTTGTTAAAAAAAAAAAAAGTTTTTATTTTTATTCTGAACTTTTTATTCTAAGCGAAAAAATAAGATTGTTCATGAAACTAAAGATCTCTGTTACACGTAACTTGCTTTTCAAGTATGTAATAAATGCAACCTGTAGTTTTCAAAGCTGTCCTGCTTGTCTGTAATTCTTTTTGGCCTTCCTTCTGTTCTAACAGATCATTCTTTTAAAATATCTTGTTTCCTCTTCCTATTTTATTTACCATTTAGGGGAGCTTTTGACCTTGCATGGTGAGTGCTGAGGAAGCTATAGACAGTTGAAGCCCACGTGGGCAACAAGGCAGCACAATTTTGTTTCTTTGTACTCAGAATGCACAAGTCCAGAAGAGTCCTTTGCCACAAAGTGTGCTTTGAAGGGAGGAGATCAGAAGGAATTGGGTAGAAAGGCACATTCATTGGCATCTGTTCACACTACCCAAGGCTCTCTGCATCTTGTAGTACTGACATTTATCTAAAGAATTCCACATGCAAGCAGCACAAGTTAGGAAATCCTGGGCTACCCATTATTGATTGATGTCTTCTTCTGAGCAGTAAGATATCAGAGCTCTAGTACATAAATGCTCTCGTTTGATGTCTGAAAGTCATGCTTCCCTACTTCTCTTCTTCCTTCTGTTGTAGATCCTGGTGCCCCTGTGAAATTGCCTTGTTTGCCAGTGAAACTGTCTCCTCCGCTACCTCCAAAGAAAGTCATGATTTGCATGCCTTTAGGAGGGCCAGAACTCTCCCTCGCTTCCTATGCGGCTCAGAAGAGTGCCCAGCAGACCATGGCTCAGCATCACCATACTGTCCTGCCATCCCAGTTGCCGCACCAGCTCCAGTATGGTAGCCACAGCCAGCACCTCCCCTCCGCCTCCGGCTCACTAACTATGCAGCCATCAGGTTGCAGGATGATAGATGAATTGAATAAAACACTGGCTATGACCATGCAGCGACTGGAAAGGTAATGCTAGATTTCCTATATACCCTGAGGGGAGGGCTATCCATAGTGGGTCTAGACCCTAGAGCTGACCCTAGGGCAGTGTAGCACTCAGAATCATCTTTGGAGGGTTCTTGTTCCCAGGATCCATAGTTCAGGGCCCAGAATATATAATATAGTATGCTTTTTTAAAAAAAATGTTTATGCAAGTATAATAAAAGGAATGAAATCTTGAAGAAATCGTAGAAAACAATATGAGAGTTGGGGGTGGGTGGGATGGGAAGGGATGGTGAGTGGAAGCCTTTCCCTTTTCTTTGGTAATAAGGAAAGGGTTTATAGGTTCACTATATGTTATTGTTGGTGGTGGTGGTGGTGGTGTTAATCTAATGGCAAAGTTATTTATTTCTCTAGGGGCTAATTCTCTTAGTTAATTCCTGCACACATACAACCTAGTTCTGTAACCTGGGGCAAATCACTTAACCTATATGAGTCTTAGTTTCTTTATCTGTAAAATTAGAGGGTTAGATTGACTCATAGATCATAAACTTTTTTTAACATAGATCCCTTTGGCTGTGGTTTGTTGCCTGCATTCATAATTTAAGGAAATGCTGAATTTCTATAAGAGGTTTGTAAGAGTGAAAATAAAGATATATTTTTTCCTAAGTTCATGAATCTCTTGGAATCTACCCACAACTTCCTCGGAGACCCATGGAACCCAGGTTAAAAAGCCTTGGATGAGATGGTCTCTGAGGCCTCTTGCAGCTCTAAAATCCTATGATCCTGCAATCATGATGTCCCTCTGGTTTGCTGTCTTTTTGACCCTTGGTTCCATTTCATTCATTTCCTCTAATGGAAATACTCTCACCATCCACTACAATTCTTGGGTCAGTTTCTTGATCCTCCAGTAAAAGGGAAGGAATGAATCGTTGAAAGTAAGCTGAAAGCCTAAACGTCTTTCCCAGAGCTGTGGTATCAAGCCTCCCCTGCCTCCTCCCCACATGAGCAAACTAAAGTATAGAAGGGCAAGAGTGACTACCACACACTGCCTTGCCACTAGCAGAGTTGACACTGAAGGGACCGCCATTTTTGAACAGACTGCTTGGTCAAATGTGCTGTCCCTTTTCTTTCCTCAGTAGAACTTAACTTTGTTGATTCTACCTCCACACATCTCATACCTATCCCTTTCTCTCTACTTACACAGCCGTCGTACTAGTTGACACTCTCATCAACTCTCTTCTGGACTAATGTGATAGCAATCTCATCAATCTCCTTGATCTAGATTACATTTTGAGGGTTTTTTTTTTAATACATTAGCACCTTTTCTGTACTCTGTGATCCAGCCAAAATGATCTTCTTTCTGTTCTTTATACCACCTCTGATCTCTGCCCCTTATATAGGCTGCCTTTCCTGCCTAGGATCCATTTCCTCCTCACCTCCACCTCTTTATTTTTTCAAAATATAGCTGAAGTATCACCTCCTACATGAAACCTTAAAGAAGAGAGGTAGCACCATGGATAGAGCACTCGGCTTGGAATCAGGAAGACTCATCTTCATCAGTTCATACCTGGCCTTCATGTGCTTACTAGCTGTGTGACCCTGGGCAAGTCCCTTAACCCTGTTTGCCTTAGTTCCTCATCTGTAAAATGAGCTAGAAAAGGAAATGGCAAAGCTCTCCAGTATCTTTGCTAAGAAAACCCCAAGTGGGGTCACAAAAAGTCAGAGATGACCGAATAACAACATGAAGCCTTTGCTAATCCCTCCTGTCACCAATGCCTTCCTTCCCAAAATGATCTTGTATATATTTTGTGTGTACTCATGCATGAATGTATTGCCTCACCTGATAAAATGTAAGTTCTGTGAAGACAGGGATTAATTTGGCTTGGTCTTGCCTGGCATGTTATCTGGCACATGACACTTAATAAATGCCATTGACTGATTCCTCCCTCCCAATCCTTCTCTTGGACCAGTGAGAGGGACAGAAATAATTTATTCTGGGATTCCTAGTTTCTGTTTCTGTTTTTTTTTTTCAATTAAACATTTCTTTTCTGTGAAATGGATACTTTCTGGCAGGTCCATGAGGTCCAACTTTCCCATGTGATGCCTTTTGCTTCCTTCATTGCTATGGACATGGTTAAAGGATGTGTTGAGTAGTGTCATCCAATTAATTTAATTCCATTCTTCTCCTTTCATTGTAAGCAATTCCTTAAAGAAAAAAGGATCAGTTTGTGTGTGTGTGTGTGTGTGTGTGTGTGTGTGTGTGTATGTGTGTAAGTTTGTGGTTTTTCACAAGGATTTGAAATTTCCAAAAGAAACTCTGAAGTAGATGCTTTCTTGTAGGGCCTTCATTGCTCCAAGCTCTTCAGTTAAAGCATGAAGTTTTTAAAGTTCTAGAGAAAAACACAAATGACCACTTACATAATATTCCCACTCCCTCCCCCACTTGATGTTTCTGAGAGCTCTTGTCTGTCTTGATTGTGTTATGCAGTGGGCAAGGGCAAGTCTAGATAGGCTCGGGGTCTTACATGGAATGTGATGTCAAAGAGGAAATAGGCCCAGAGCACAGATGTGAATCAGACATTCTAAGCAAGACAGCAGAAATCTCTGTGTCATCCCTGCCACGTGCTTTGTCTCCTACTTCTCTCTGGCCTTCTAGGCTAGGTCAGGGCTGCAAGTAGCTTTTAATAATCTGTCCAGGACAGATGAAACAAATGTTTGTGTCATTTTGACAAGATCTTCCCTCAAGGGGAAAGGAAGCTACCTTCCTGACCAGATGAAAAAAGGAGAAGTTTTCTTGACATCCTCACTGTCTTCTAGGAGAGCAGGGAAGTCTGAGAGTGCTACAAGGTCATGAGCCATTTTTCTACTTAGTCAAGAAATTCCCTTTCTGTCTCTAAGCACCTACACTTTTCTAAAGGGCAACTAGATGTAGCAATGGAGAGTGACAGGCCTAAAGTCAGGAAGACTCATCTTCCTGAGTTCAAATCTGGCTTCAGACACTTACTAGCTGTCAGATGCTGGGCAAGATACTTAACCCTGTTTGTCTCAGTTTCCTCATCTATAAAATGAGCTGGAGAAGGAAATGGCAAACCACTCCAATATCTTTGCCAACTGGGATCACAAAAAGTCACACACAACTGAACAACAACAACAAAACGTCTCTAAAAAATCCTTTACAGTGTTTCTCTTGTGCAATTCTTGTAAAAATGTAATCAGCAACATTTCTATTGCTATTTAAATTTCTATTGTTATCAAACCCGCCAACAATACTTCAGTATTATTAAAATTGATATCTCATCCTCATATTGAGTTTTTGGTTTAGACATGTTTAAATACTTTATATGGTTCTGCTGAGTTAAATTATTAAAGCATTTATTCTTTAAGTGTGAGGGCTTTGAAGAAAAAAAAAACTCTAGTAAATTAATTTTCATTCTACCTAGTCGAAGCCCAGAATCCCTGAATAGATAGGTAGATTCAAAAACAAAAAGAATAAAATGCCAATGTTAATAGGTAATTTTGTGTGCTGTGTATGTATTTCTAGAGTGACAACAGGCCCTAGACAGAATGACTAAATGAATTGGGTTTAAACCAAAAGAAGAGAAACTTAAAGGCAATGGGGTTGGGGGGGGGGAGTTGTTGTTGTTTTTTACCAGATCTATGAATTCATCAGCATAAGTCCCTTCTTCTACCAATTCAGATCAGTACCTTCTCTTTGATTTATAGTCTTAGAGAGTCATCTGAGTCCCTGTGAGATTAAATGACTTTCCCAAGGTCATATAGCTGTTAAATAGTCAGAGGCAAGACTTGTCCCTGGTCTTCCTGCCTCCAAAGGGGAGCCCTCTAATCATGATGACACCCCACCTCTCAAAGGTTTGTCTTGTTATTATTTACACATAAATGTAATGGGTGCCTACCATAAATTTCCTTAAATTATTAATTCCTAATTAATTTAGATATTAAAAAGTTTGTCTTTTTTTTTATTAGTTGGAATGTTCTCATGTTAGTTACGTAAGTCCTAAACCATGTGACCAATTGTTAGTGACATCATAGCGTGGTTGAGAAAGTCATCAATAACCAATGACGTCACCTCTCTTCTCACTTAATTTTAAACCTTCTGCTACTGTCTGGCTTCCACCCTCATCATTTGACTGAAACTGCTCTCTCCAAAGTCACCATTGATCTCTCAGTTACCAAATATAATCTAAGCCTTTTTTTTATTTTTCTGCAACCTGTACCACTATTGAACACCTTCTTCTTCTGGACATTCTCTTCTCTCTAGGTTATTATGACCCTGTCTCTCCTGAATCCCTCCTACCTGTTTGGCCACTCCTTCTCAGTCGTTTTACTGTGTCTTCATATAGGTCCCACCCATTAACCATGGGTGTCCCCCTGGGCCCCCTTATCCTGGTGATCCATCAGCTCCCATGGTTTCAGTTCTCATCTCTATGCAAATGATTCCGAGACCTGTACATCAGACCCCAACCTCTCTTCTGAGCTCTATACTTGCATCACTAGCTACTTATTGAATATGTCAAACTGAATGTCCCATAGGTATCCCAAATTCACCATGTCCAAAACTGAAATACTTATCTTTTATCCTAAACCTTTTCTTCTTCTGAATATTCCTATCACTATAGAGACTAGGACCATCCTCCTAGTTACCCAGACCCCCAACCATTCTTGATTTCTCATGCTCCAATGTGTTGCCAAGTTCTGTCATTTTTGGTCTTTGCAATGTCTCTCCTATTTAACCCCTTCTCTCCTCCAACACCACTTCCATCACCCTGGTATTGCCCTCATCACCTCTCACCTGAACTATTCAAACAGCCTTCTGATTGATCTGTTGCCTCAAATCTCCCCAACTCCAGTTTATGTTCTGCTCAACTACCAAAGTGATCTTCCTATAGCATAGACAAGTCTGATCACATCACCCCACCCTCCCCAATTCAGTGAACTCCAGCTGCTCCCTATTACCTTCAGCATCAAATATAAAATCTTTTGTTTAGAATTGAAAGCCCTTTATGACC